ATACTCTCCAAATGATAAAATATGCTTTTTAAAAATAGAGAGTCTCTTGGAAATACTCTAAGTATGTAGTGGAAAAAAGAAAAACAAAAAGTGTGTTTGATGGATATTATTGAGAGAATAATGTATTTTAAATAGTGATATGATGAGAAATATATGATTAAAAAGTAAGAAAAAATTATTGATGTGATGTAAATATTATTTTATTAAAAAATGTGTAATTGAAAATGAGTTTAAAAGAATATATATATTTTTTTGATACCCAAGCGTCCACATTCGGCGATTAATCTTGGGGTCTACGCCTTAGTTCCTCAAGACGCAGACCAGGTAAACCGCGGGATGTGTCCCAAATTGGTCAAGGTCCAAGAGCCCCCTCCACTGATTTGCCAAAGTGTCGAGTGAGTCAACACTTGTTGCACCTTACCTTTCAGGAGAACTCCTGCCTTTCAGAATAAATCTTGCATTCTAGGAGAGAGCTTGCCTTCCAAGAGCCCCACGAATCGAACTCGCGACCTCGAACTGCCAGCAACTAAGAGCTCCGTCCTTTGCCAATTGAGATGTGCCCCGAAGGGCTTGAAAGAATGTGTACCAGACGTAGGAGTTGGCAAAACCCAAACCAACTCCATCAAACCGCCCAACCCGACCCAAACCGACTGGGTTGGGTCGATTTTTTGTCTTTTTTGGATGGGTTTTGGGTTGGGTAGTCGGGTCGGGTTATGTGTTAACAACCTAAACCCGATCCAAATCGACCCACCCAACCCGACTATATTAAAAAAAATTTTTAAAAAGGAAAACACGTTAAATTGAAAAATAAAACCCTAAAAGCCCAGTCGCCTCTCCATCTCTAGGCTCCAGCCTTCACACTTCTCAAATTTCCAGTCCCCTTAATTTAGAGCAATATCTGCCACAAATCTTCATCTTCGGGTGAATCATATATATGTGACCTCAGAAGACATCAAGGTACTGTTTGTATTTACCTATAGTTGGTTTGATGATTAATTATTCCTTGAATTCTTGCAATTATTATACGGGAAGTCCTACCAAAATGGTTTTATTAAGATTTTTC